TTGTTATTTAGTCTTTAGATCAATTTGGGGAGTATTGTCATCTTAACAATACTAATTAAACTTTTGAAAAAAACAATAAAAAGGAAAAATTTATCCCACCAGAAATCATAACAGACTATATAGTATTGTAACTAAATATTAATGGTATTTAGAGGAGAATAGACAGATACACTAGTGAAAAGTAGAATCCAGGGGAAAAAAAACATGTATGCATGTATGTATGTATATGTGTGTGTAATTTTAAATCAATGGGGAAAGGATGGATTATTCAAAAAAAGTGTTAGGACAAGTGGCTTCCATTAGGAAGAAATTAAAATTAGATTATCTCCCACACTCAAAACTAAAATCCAGGTGCATTATATGAAACTAAAAATTACTACAAAATGTTGGAAAAATATCCCACAATAATGGGATAGAGGAGACTGTTCTAGGCAATACACCAAAGCCACATTTTAAATTTCTGTACGATAAAAGACAACATACACAAACAATGCAAGTTTAATTAATGCAATTAAAGCCTTGGAGAGAGAGAGAGAAAGAGTAAAAGAGGGAATTCACTTCCAGTTCCACCATTTGAAAGTTCACCATTAAGAAAGTCAATTTAACTTCTCAAAATATCCAGTTTGGGATTTTTTTTAACGTGTTAAAAATGAGGATAATAATTCTTACCTCACAACATATTTTAACATTAAATGAGAGAGTAGGTATAAAAGCATCTAGCATGAAGTCTGGTGCATTATAAAAAGCTTGTTCTTCCTTATGTCAACTTAAGTTGATATTACATTAAATGAAGAATTAGAAGCTGCGGGGCTGGCCCTGTGTCCGAGTGGTTAAGGTCACGCGCTCCGCTGCAGGCGGCCCAGTGTTTCGTTGGTTCGAATCCTGGGCGCGGACATGGCACTGCTCATCAAACCGCTGAGGCAGCATCCCACATGCCATAACTAGACGGACCCACAATGAAGAATATACAACTATGTACCAGGGGTGGGGTGGGGGGGCTTTGGGGAGAAAAAGGAAAAAAATAAAATCTTTAAATTAAAAAAAAAAGAATTAGAAGCTGCAATGAAGAATAGCAGGATTCCTATATTGTGGTTCACGATAAAACTACATTATAATTCCATTCTACCACTTCTGAGATAAAAACATATTTCCCCTCATCCCTTGCCCACTATGTTTTACATGTATAAAATGCCAGTTGTGGGGCTGGCCCCGTGGCCGAGTGGTTAAGTTCGCGCTCCGCTGCAGGCGGCCCAGTGTTTCGTTGGTTCGAATCCTGGGCGCGGACATGGCACTGCTCATCAAACCACGCTGAGGCGGCGTCCCACATACCTCAACTAGAAAGACCCACAACGAAGAATATACAACTATGTACTGGGGGGGGGGGGGGGGGAAGAAAAAGGAAAAAATAAAATCTTTAAAAATAAAAAAGTGCCAGTTGTTAGTACCTGTTCTAAAGATGGAAGGCAAAGTACAAAGCAGCCAGGATTGATACCACCTTAACAGCAAAACATAACCAACATATATATGTATATAGTTACATTTTATTCCAATGGCTTTCACCCTTTAAAACTTTTTGCCCCAAAACGCTTTTCAAGGATTTTTAAGTTACTGAACAAGGATCACATCTGAAATAAAATCTACCAACAAAAAACCTTCAGAATGGTGCATAACAAACATTGTTAAGGATAAAAAATAATTGTATTGGATAAAGCCTGAAGTGTCTGAAGGCTTACTAATGCTAACATTTTTTATATTTGAGCATTGGTCAGAGCAAAAATCTTTCACAATTCAGAAAGCACTGATTAATTCAACTTTTTGTTTCAAACAAAATGTCCACTTCTTGAGTGAAGCATAACACAATTTTTACTAAAATTGTATAAAATTTTAAACAGCAGCTACATATACAATTTACGGCCCAAACAAGTTCAAACTCCTCCAATAAATGTTAGTCAAAATGGCAAAATTCCCACTTTAAAAAAGTACACTTAGACGCATTTACTTTCTAGCAGATTTTTGGATGAACAAGATTTTGACCTTTAGATTGGTTTTTAAAAAACTAAAAAGAGAACCCAAAATTATACAATGAAATGTGCCTTCCAATCTAAAAACAAACACAAACAAAGAAACAACAAGTTCATTGGAATGTAAAAGTAACCACCAGCTTTATTCAAATTACTAAAGACAATGTTGCAACTGCAAGATCCTTCCCCCCCCCCCCCCCCCCCCAGCTTTCAACCAGTCCCCAGTCATGTTTTATCAGTTTAACAGGAAATTAATGATTAAAGTTCAGCACTGGTGAAATTTTTCTTCACCAAGACCTGCCTTTTGCATTAATTCTACAGCACTCAAGGCAGTTACATCCACGTGGCTGACTTTAATACCACAAGATTCATTTGTGAAAGAAAAGAAAAATAGTAATTAGTCTAAAAACAGCACAATAGATCAGGACACTAAAAGGCATAAACAGTGCAGCTGCCTTGCTCTCAAAAGAAAAAAAAAAGAAGCCCAGCTCTCACAAATCTATTTTGATAGGAAAGTTTCAATATACCATTCGTTAACATGCACAATACTCTTAAAAGCCAAGTTTCTCTTATATATAAAGCATGTGAAGAAAAAGACTTCTGAAATATTCTTTTCAAATGCTATAGAAACCTACAAAGTAATAGGGTTATAGAAAAACTGTAAAAATTAGGAATGTAAGGGGCCAGCCCAGTAGTGTAGTGCTGAAGTTCTCGAGCTCCACTTCAGTGGCCCAGGGTTCATAGGCTCGGATCCCTGAGCAGATCTAGCACTGCTGGTCAAGCCATGCTGTGGTGGCAACCCACATAAAATAGAGGAAGATTGGCACAGATGTTAGCTCAGCAACAATCTTCCTCAAGCAAAAAGAGGAAGATTGGCAACAGATGTTAGCTCAGGGACAATATTCCTCACACACACACACACACAAAAAATTAGGAATGTAAATGATGAGACTTTTATTCCTTGGCATTCTTTGCTCTACTGCAAATCTAATCTAGTGCCAAAAATGTATGCAAGATATTGGAGCTCTTTGAATCTTGGTTTTTCTTCCCAATCTGCAGCCCATAATAGTTGGAATATTGGAAACAACTCTTGAAAATCTCTAATATCTTAATTAAAATAGAACAGGTATTATATTCAAGTTTAACAAAAGTTCAGTATCATACTCCATATAACTCAATCAGTATCCTTTTCTTATTTTATATTCAATGATTCCTTTATTTCAAAAACAAAGATATCACATGGTTTGTGACCAACATCAGTGGCTGGAAGCATTTCCAAACCACTTCTTTCAACTTGTTTTCTAAAAAAGTCAAACTTAAAATGTGAAACAAACTGAGCACAAAGCCACATTCTCCAGGAGAAAAATGCCGTGATTAACTCACTAAAACATAAATAGCTGAGTCATATTAATAAAAATTTCACAAAAAGCAGAACTTTCAAAGGTACGTTTTAAAAATTACTTCAATTGCACATGGTCCTGGAATTTAACCTGCGAACTATCCTAGACAATCCATTTGTGTCTCCTGCCAGTCCTTCAATTACACTCAGAGCATAAAAGTTTCAAAAACTAATACCAACAATAGCAATCAAACCAAGTGCAGCTTTTCACAAGCAAGGACGCTAAGCTCCAAATAAAATTAACACCAAAAACAAACCCACAAAAAACCCAAAAGTCAAAACCAAAAAACGATCTTAAATTTTCTCTTAAAAGTAGGAGTTCCTTAACTTTACAATATTTCTCTTTGCTTTTCACTGGAAAGAGAATGGGAAATCAAATTAACAGTGATGAGGATGAGAACAGTGAGTTCTCAGGCGGAGGATGCATGAATTTACAACCCAGGCTTGGCACAGAGATCAGCGGGCACACACACACCAATGCTCTAGGGAAGCGTTCAAGAAATGTCACTACTAACGGAAGTTTTAAGGCCTTATTTTCTTAACGCCTAAGGACAGCCTTGTAAATGCACTGTAAAACGCAACCTAGCACAGCTCCATTCTCCAAAACAATTCAAGAGTTTCCTACGATGCGCGAAACGGAAAGAGCATGCACTCCGGGCACCCTCAGGACCGCCGCCTCCCACTCGGGAGGGAGGGCGGGCCCATGTGAATCTGAGTGCCAGCACGTCAGTTTATGTGACAGATCCACTGGGAGCATCCGACTGCGATCCAGGGCCCTCCCGGGCCGACGCTGCTGGAAGAGGAACACAAATGCAGTCTTCAGGGCCCTCCTACTTCCGTTCTCAAGACAGAAATGCACTGTTGCTCCTCGTCCTCGCCCCTCGACCCAGCACCTCTCGACGGCGGGGCCCCCTTCAAAGAGCTCAGGCGCAAGAGAAAAGCAGATCTCCCGGACCGGGGTCGACGGAAGGTGGCGGGTCACTGCACTCCCGCCCCCGGCCCCCGGGCACATCCACCGCCAGCGCCCACCCGAGCCCCCTCCGGCAGGGGGGACACGCAAGCGGCAGTAAGCGCCGTCCCACTTCGCCCCCACTCCCCCTCCCCGGGGTAAGGGGAGCGGAAAGGCGCAAAGAGGAACTAAGTGAACTGCGCGAGGGGGGCCCGCGGGCTCCCTGGAGGAGGGGGTGGGGTGGGGGTGGAAACCCAGCAGGAGCGGAAGGAAGGGGAAAGGATGAGCTGCGAGAGGAAGGGCCGAGCGCGCGCGCCCGCAGAGGGCACCAGTCCTCGGGGACGCGGCTGCACCCCGGTTCCTCGGAGCGCGGCGCTCCGCCCCGGGCACAGGGCGGGGAGGGGGGATGAGGAGGCGACGTCCCCCTCCCGGCCCAGCCTCGCCCCTCAGGAGGGGTGGCCGGGGCTGCAGTGCCCTCGCGGTCGGGAGGGCGGCATCGGCCGCTCGCCCCGTCGAAGGCGCGGGCTGCGGGGCCCCGCGCGCGTCCCGCGGGCCGGCTCTCACGCCCCCACCGCCGGGGGAGGCAGCTCTGGGGGATGCCGGCCCGGCGCCAGGCGGCCACGCCGGTTACCTGAAGCGGGGCGAGTCCTTCAGACACTCCTCGAAATCCACCGTCATCTTCATCGTGCCTCTGCCTCGCCTCGCAGGCGGCGCTGGAAGGGCCGAGGGAGCCGCGGGAGCGGCCGCGCTGGGGACCCAGACGGCTACGGCGGCCGCACTGCCGCGACTAGGGCCGCGCGGAGCTGCAGGAGGCGCCTCGCCCGCTGGTCATAGCAGCCGCGAAGACGGCGGCAACAGCTACGGCTCGTCAGGCCCCAGTCCGGCCCCTCTTCCTCCCGCCCCCAGTAGAGCGCCGGCCTCAGGGAAACGGCCCGGGAGTGACAGGCTCAGCCAGCCAGCCACGAACCCGGCGGCTAATGGGCGGGGCTTCCGGCAGCACCGCCTGCGGGCGCTCCGGCAACGCGCCTGAGCGACGGCAGCCCGAGCCAATGAGCAGCGCGACCGTGGGTGCCTCCTTGCCCCCGGCGTCCCCGAGGGCCAACCGGGATGCGCGAGCGTCGTTAGGCGGGACGCACCGGTTGCTGGGAGGCCGGCCGCTGAGGCTCCTTGGGAAGGAAGTCACGTGGCTGCGCGGCGCGCTTCCCGCGGAGCCCCCGCCTCTCCTGCTTCTTCAGCCCCGCCCTGCTGAGCTGCTTACGCTGAGGAGCCGCCGCCTGCAGGTCTGAGGAGAGTAGCTTCTTAAGGCAGCTTTGGCAGAAATCTGAAGAGGGTAGGTAGGAGTAGAAATTGTAAAAGAAAAAGATAGCCTAAACCACCGCGACCTTTCAGATTAGAGAAACTGAGGCCAGGAGAGGCGCAAGGGTAACTTTAATGATAAAATCCGCCTTTCAGTTATTGGCTTCATCTCTTAATAATTTGGAAATATCTCCCATGTATATCTTTTCATATAAGCAGAGACTTGCTGAAGGAGCTGGCATTTGGGGTGAACATGGAAAGATCGGAAGGATTTGGACAGGTATGAGAGGTAGGGCCTTCCAGGTGGAGGAACCGCTCTCAAAACCGCGGGAGACATTCCTCCTTACTGACACCTTTCTCAGTAGCCTTGCCAGTTCTAAGATGATAGAGTTTCCAAAATCAGGCTCTCTCTGACTTGCAAGACTTGCCCTCTGATCCACGATTTTTCTAGGAACACTGCAAGATGGTCATCATCTGATCCTAACAATAATCCTGCAAGGCAGGTATTTACCATCCTTTTGATTCTAAGACGCCACTGATTGTAAAAAGTACCATGGATACGTTATATTTAAATGTAGACTTTTTAAAACAACCTAAAAAGCATAGGCATATCCGTAAAAACGCACAGGTAAGGGTGTTCGGACAGCACGGTGGCTCTGAATGAGTCTAGAGGCAAACTTCCTGGATTTAGCTCCTGGCTTTCTCTCTGTAAAAAGAAGATAACACCAGTGATCTGATAGAGTTGTCCTGAGGCTAAAATAGATAACAACTCTAAAGGCACTTAACACAGTACCACATAGTAATCATCCCGTAAATGTTGGCTATTATCATAATTGTACCACTTTCTTCTTCAGTACTGTAATCAAAGGTTAAGTTTAAGCCGCCTCACTTCCACAGCCTAAAGTCTTATAAAACCCATTTGACCATCGGCTAGTTATAGCATGATGGCTTGCTTTTTTTTCATAACCTATTGTTATATCTTGATCTCTGTAGCATCTTTAAAAAATAACAATACAATTTTGAGACAGTTCAAAGAATAGCCGAGCGTTGTATGTTTCTTATTTGGTTATAAACTTTGTTTCTTTTTTAAATTGCATTACATATCCCTGGAATCTACACAGCTTCTCTTGATCGCTAGAAACCATTGACAGGTAAACTTTCAGTGTCTTCAGACACTTCAGTTGATCAAGCCAGCCGCTTCCAGACTTGTAAACTCTATGTCAAATTTAGAAAGAGAGGCCATTTCTGCATTTAATTGTGTTCCTGATGTAATCTGTATAGACAATAACTTTATTGTTTCAATGCTTCAACACAATGTAACCTTTTGGAAGACACCTAAAGTCACACTTTGGGAGTCAAATTAAAATTCAACTGCAAGGCACCATCACTGCAAATAACTCAACTAAGCTAATTTGCAGATGAACATCTTTCTGTGGACGGCTAATATACCCATTTAGTGATAACACTGTCTCAATTTTTCTTTTCTGCCCTGTGGTAAAGCAAGAATTTTGGGGTATCTATTATAAGATATCTCCTAAGTTAAGAAATATTAGAAGTGGGATGGGGTGGGAACAGTGAGTCTTAGAATAGAAGAAATATAATTTTTTTTTTTTTTGAGGAAGATTAGCCCTGAGCTAACATTTGCTGCCAATCCTCTTCTTTTTTGCTGAGGAAGACCGGCCCTGAGCTAACATCCATGCCCATCTTTCTCTACTTTGTATGTGGGATGCCGCCACAGCATGGCTTGACAAGCAGTGTGTAGGTCTGCGCCTGGGATCTGAACCGGTGAACCCCGAACCCCGGACCGCTGAAGCGGAACGTGAGAACTTAACTGCTATAATAATGGAAACCAAGGCCCCAAGATATAAAAATAACCTGCTAGGTGACTTGGGCCAAACACAGGTCCCATGACGACAGACTCTAACTGCAAACTGCCAACTCTCCCCTTTAGAATTCGACCTTTGCAGTTGTGGCTGTCTGCCTGTGACGCATTTCCTTTTCTTCTCCTCTTTAAAATGCAGCTCAAATGCCACCTCTTTCAGGAAGCCTTCTCTGTTTGCTGAAATACAGACCTCTCTTTTCAACACACAGTGAAGGTTAATTACCAGGCCCAGTCTACAGTCTTAAGGGATATAAATGATCAAACCTTAAATCTCTGCCAAATTTTTTCTCCTCAGACTTCCCAGCCCCTTTCTCCAAACCGTCTGGAACCCTGCATACCCATAGCCCTTCCCAGAATGCTTCGGATTTCCTTTGAGGATACTTTTGATTATACATCCTCTTGAGCAAAGTTGTCCAGTCCCCACCTCCTTAATCCTCCTGGGCCAGGATACAGTCAGCAAGAGTCAAACTCTTGACAGCAACTTACAGTTCACATTTCACCTTAATGCAGGAATTTCTTCTTTTTTCAGGCTAATGTCATCCAGCTATAACACTCACTTTCCTCATTGCTGTTATCCACCAATTTCCTAGTAACTCCCTGCCTTCACTTGCCTAATTGCATTGCAAGTTATCTCAAGAAAAGGGAGTTATGATGAGAGTAACCAGGGGCAGGTACTGGAACTGGGAAGCCCAGGAACCCAGGCATTGCTGAGAAATGATTTCCCTCTTTTGGTGGCTGTATCTCTCTCTTTCTCACCTACTCCTCGACTCATGGCAAGTTTCCTCTCTGCTCTCTTATGGGTTCTGTTCCCCTGTCAACCTGGCTTGCATATAATCCCTCATCACTACTGGTTCCTTCAACAAGCTGGTTGTCAGATGGCTGTAGGTGCCAAGCAGATAATGTAAAGGAATGAAGCTGGCCAAGTGTAAGCAGTATGGAGGGGGCTCAGCCATGGTGAAGGGGAAAGCACATGCCCTGTGTACTGCTCAGTTCCAGTAAGTTTTTGCCGTATGAGACCTTCAGATTTTACAAGAAAAGCAATAGCCGGATTTTAACGTGATACCTCCCAATTTTCAAATTTGGCAACACTTTCAAAATACTAGAAAACATTTCACAGGTCGTAAAAATAAGTTTCAGGGCCACACTGCCATTTCTGCTCTATATTTCTTGACAATTGTTGCTATAGCCTATCACCCTCTGCTTCTGGAGCTTATCACTTTAATCTGTTTCCCAATTCCCAGATTCCAGGAGAAAATCGGATTAACGCAGCTCATCTTTTCATGACAGGTCACACAGGTCCCTGGCAAGCCAATGGAAGGGTGGGATCACTCAACTAATCATTTGTACAGGAATGGGGTCAGGATGGGGGCTGCAGGACAGCTGACAAGTAGACAATGCGATTTCCCTAGAAGAGTTTATTGATGGCCAGGCCCCATAAAACACAGCTGGTGAACCCTCATGTTCATCCAGGACTTTGGCCTATGACTCACAGTCCTCCACCCCAACTCCTACCGTCAGCTAAGGTGATGTCAACATTCATTCGTTCTATAGCATCCATTGAGCATGTACTGTGGCCAGACCCATATGGTAGGCTCTGAAGTTTACAGGTGAAGTAAACAATGTTTCCCCTCTAGAGCTCTCAAACCAGAGGGGGAAGCGTGTGGTAAGTTCTGGGCCAGGAGTATGCGCAGGGGGCTACTCATACTCTGACAGCCATTTCTCCTGGGGAAGGAAATAAGGGTTCTCATATCTCTGCAGATATGAGGAGTCTTGAAAAAGTAAGATCCAAGGGAAGGTGAGGAAGGTCTTTGCAAGGACCTTTAGTCACAGGGAACTATGTGACCAAAGCACAGAGGTCAACAGTGACCAGATACAAAGGACCTTGTCAGCCATGCTAAGGCATTTGTATTTTAAGGCAATGGGAAGCCATTGGAAGAGTTTAATTCTAGGAGTGACGTTATCTGATTTGAGTTTTAAAGGAGAGTGGAGCAAGAGGTGGGACCATTGGGACTGAAACCAAATGCTGTAAGCAATATCAAGGTTTTCAACCAAGGCAACTGCAATCAAGAGGTGTTTAGGAAATACAACTGAAAGAATCTGATAGCCAACTGAATATGAGGGAGGAAAAAAGGACTAAACTCCTAGGGTGACTCCAGGTTTCAGGTTTGGGTGACTGGTGGGAGGTGGTGCCATTCACAGAGAAAGAAGAAAGTTTATCTCTTTGTCTCAAAATATGTCACTTCAGACAGTCCTTAAATGTTCCCACCTTAAAACTTGTCTCATCCAGAACATTCCATGCTCAAGCTCAACCTTGAATGTCTCCTGCTATCTGGCTCCCACATGTTCACTTCACACCCCCAAACTCTCACCCCAAGACTCTTTTTTTTTTTTTTGTGGTGAGAAAGGTTGTCACTGAGCTAACATCTATTGCCAATCTTCCTCTTTATGCTTGAGGAAGATTGTCACTGAGCTAACATCTGTGCCAGTCTTCTTCTATTTTATGTGGGATGCCACCACATCATGGCTTGACAAGCGGTGTTAGATCTGTGCCCAGGATCCCAACCTGCTAACCCCAGGCCACTGAAGTGGGGCCTGCAAACTTAACCACTACGCCACTGGGCCCCAGTGTTGTATTTTAAAGGGGACTGAATGGGCAAGAGGTGAAGGCTTTTAGGGCTGAGGCTCTGCTTCACTGCATTTAGTGATACAAGAACTAGAAACTAC